AGTGGTGTGGGAGTGACTCTTTGGAGCCTGCAGGCTGCGGCCAGGGTTTTGGGTGTTTGATGACCACACGGAGAGGGGCTTTTGAAAGGCTGCACTTTGTCCTGCTGGGGAAGTAGCACGAGAATCTAGGGTTGGAAGCCATAGGCAGAAGGTGCGGGCTCAGGATCTACCTGGGTGGGGGAGGTTACGTGAAGGCTCGAGACTCAGAGGGCGGCACTTTCTTCTTATTGACAGTGGCTACTGTCACATGCCACCGAGGTTGATACACAGCTTGCCCGCAGTGCCCTGCTGCTCCCATGATACTAAAGCTAATGGAACTGCCACTGTCCCAGCCTCAGCCTCTGGGTCCATCTCTAAATCTTCTCCCTCTCAGGACAATCTAAAGATTAAATAGTGTTCTACACGGTGCAACTCTCCCACTGCTGTTATTCACACACTTTCTCCTTTCTTCTGCCAGTTTTCTTTTATGATTTCCCCAGAAAACTAAAAGAAGGTGCTGATAGGCTTTCCTTCAAGCTATTCATCTTGAGATGGGGGTTGTGTTCAAGGAGAGCAAAACCTCAACTGAGAAACATCCTAGGTGGGGTGGTGACGGACCGCCAGGAGCAGTCTGCTGTGGCTTACCAGCACCACCTCCTCCTCAGTTCTGGCCGAGAGATGCAGCGATGGTTAGGTTTGATTCATTTCTTGGACACAAACTCCATGAGGCAGCTGGTTCACAGCCACGGGAGTCAGCCTCTTCCCAGGGGAAGGGCCTGGGTCTGGCCCCTGCTGCGGTCCCTTGGGAGCTGCCTCTGGAAAAGTGAGCAGCTCATTTGAGAGCTCAGCTCTCCTCTGCAGTCGCCAACTAACTGTCGACTCCGCTGAAGCTCTGTTTGGAGGTTCAGATCAATGTGGGGGAATGGGGGCACCCACGCTGGCCTGTAGCCCTGGGGACTACCCTTCAAAGAACTCCTTGTGGATTTTCCTCTGGCTGCTTGGAGAGGGAAAAGGGCTATCCTGCCATTGTTCTTACCGCTCTTCTTGCACCTGTGACAAGTCTCAGGCGCTCCATTGTTTACCGGGAGCCTTGCTCATCAAGCTGCAAGTTACACACTGACGTTGATATGGAAGGCTGGCTCAGCCCTGGTCTCCACCACACTCTCGTCTCTGAGGCCAAACAGTCCTCACGACAAGTTTGGCAAAACACTGAAAAGGTTTTAGCTCATCCAGGTGCTCAGTGTGGCCCGCCTACTGGAGGGGTCTTTGGGACTCCTGGGGATGTTTAAGGGTTGAGGCTGAGGAGGCAGAAGGGCTGGGGGACGGCACAGGAGTGTCCCAGGAGGGGATCTACCCACGTCTCTAGGGCTCTGCTCCTGATTTGCTCCAGAGGCCACCGGGGGAAGGCTCAGCCTTCGGGAGTGATCTTTCCATTTCACCTCTGCCACCATTTGAACGTCCACAGGTGTCCTTGAGTATGGAAGTTCCAGGTGACAGAGACTCTAGATACCATAGGGTGTTCCTGAACAGAAGAGCAGAGTTGGATTCTGGTTCCTCCGTGAACCAGCTGGGTGACCTGGGCACTTCCTTCCCTCCCTGAACCTTAGCTCTCCTCTAAGAAGTGAGGGGGGCGGGTTGGCTCATCTCTAAAGTGTCTTTCCATTTGACTTCCTGTTCTTCCTCCACAGCTGCTATCACTAGAACTCTGTTCACTTGACAGTCTGGATGCTGGTGTCAACTGGAGATGCGCTGTGTGGCACTATGTCAGGTTTCCCTGGAAAAGCACACACCCATCTAAGCCATCAAGTGGTGCTCAGACTCAGGGCCACCGCACTGCGGGCTTAACCAGCACTGTGGTGAAGATCAGAAAAAGTGTCCCCTCCAGGGGGACTCAGCTGCAAGTGGGTGGGTTCCTGACCAGGCTGGTGAAATCCTGGCTGCTTCCAGCCCCATGCGACCTGTGCAGCGACTGACCTGCATATATATGTATCACGGGAACTTTGGCTGCTCTGGATTCTGAGCACTTTGGCTAACAAGTAGAAAAGGTCAAGGCCAGAATAGATGCACACCAGTGGTAAGACAGAGGGGACTTTTACCAATACTGCCTTGAAATACCTCCTGCTGTTCAAAAGCTCCAGTCCTGGGCCTGTGATGCCACTCAGATCCTATACCCACAGGGCCCATCTGATTAGGGTCGAGTCAGGAGGTGGGATTAGTAATGATAATAAAAACACTTTATAGAGGCTTACAATTTATGTGGCACATTAAATGTACTTTCTTTTTCAATTGGATTCTGATTCTAACCATTGCCCTGGTGAGTAATAATTATCTCCATTTTAAAATACAAGGGAAATGAAGCTGAGAGGTTCAAAGACTTCTTCAAGGACAGCTACTAAGTGGTCAAGTCAGGAATTGAACCCACACCTGTCTAGCTCCAAATTCAGTTTTATTATATTTTTTAAATTCTTCCATACAAGTTATACAAGATCCTGATCTGGGCGATTCAGACCCAAGGAACCATTCTGCAAGGGTCTGGAATTAGTCTGAGCTGGGGATCCTCCTTGTTTTAGTGAAGGTGGGGCTCTCCCACCTTTTCTAAGGCGTGGTAAAGATCTGGGTCTGAGTTCTGGAGAGGTCCTGGCAGGTCTTACAGTTGAACTCAGTATTCATTTTTCACACAGCAGAGTCTTGGGGTGGGGTGGGGGGATTCCTGGAGATTCACTCACTTAGTTAAATGCATCTGAGCTCCCTGGGTGCCATTAACCCATGACTACCTCCGACATTTTAGAAATTACCCTGCTGGGCATCTCAGGAAAGCCTGGAGTCTGGAGAGCGTCATCTCTCCATATAATGGGAAAATAAAGCCCAAGGCCACATCTTCTCACGGAAATAAGCTCCCTGCTAGTGTCCTCTCAGGCCACTTCAGCTGCCATCAACACTGCCTCCATACACAGCCCCTGGACCGTTAAGGTGGAGCACCCTTGGCCTCTGCCTGAGCTGTGACCTGTCTACCCCACCTGACCCCTTCTGGGCAGATCCAACTTAAATCTGTCTCAGGTGTCATTGCTGCTTCCCCTGCAGTCGGCTTCCTGAGCCATCCTCCCCCACCTGTGGGAGTCCCATGGATAATGCCCCACGCGTCCCCTGCCCTCCAGTTCAACACCTTACTACATTCTGCTCTTGATTCTGCTGCTTGAACACCGTGAGAACCCCTCCCTCTCCTAAATTTCCACGGCCACCATCTTCTTAGTGGCCTTGTGGTCTCTGCTTCTCATCTCCATGTCAGCTCCACCTGGCCATTAGTTCTTTCTCCAAACACGAATCTAACTACCCTCCTCTACCTGATGCGCAGTGGCTTCTTCCCTCTGCTGCAGGCTGAAGGTCTCCCGAGGTTATAGAGGAGCGTAATCTCCATGACACGTCGTTCCCCCCGCTGGCCATCCACTTGGCTTGGGCTTTTTACCTTGTCCAAAAGACCCTTCCCCTGGAAGCTCCTCATCCTTTTTTAAAGACCCTGCTCATGCATCACTTCTGAGGTATTGACTTCCCAGGAAATTCCTGGGGAGGAATTCCTGTTCCAAAGTAGTGAAACTTCGGATGGTTTTACTACTACTATGATGTGTATATTTGGAACCACAGTTTGTTTCTGTAGCATCTATTTGCCAGGCTCGGGATCCTTAAAGGCAGAAACTATGTCATTATCAAGGCCCTGGCATGCTCTCAGCTCACAGTAGGTTCAATAACATTGAATGAATGGATGGGACGGATGCTCCTCCCTGATCAAGTCAATGACAGCGTGTGAAGTGTTGGTTATCCTCCTGGATTTTGCTTTCGGGAAAAGGACAAAGATCATCCTCTTATTGTCTAAGCTGAAAGCTGTCAATGTGTAAAGGCTAAGAGAAATTTTTGTTCTGCAATGCATCTTTTTCCTAAAATTGTATCGCAGCGGGGGGGGGGGGGAATGGGGATGTAGAATTTCAGACAAAATGAAGAACTTGACCAGATTTTTCAGCACAGGGTAAAGGGCAAGCATATCACATTAAGTGATTGGTAGAACTGAGTCAGCTTAAGGTCAGTGAGACCCTTGCAAGATTCTGTAGGTAGAACTTTCAAGCCACTTATAAAAGGGTTAGAAACAAGATGCACCAATGCTATGTTTAAGTCCTGCTGTTTGTAACTCAAGACTTTCTTATTAACCAGCAGGACGGCAGAACGGGGGTTCCTTAGGGTACCTTCAGTTTTTTAGGAGCTGTAGACCAATGAGTGAGAGCAAATGCTTTGGAAGGCAGGTGCTTCCTGGATGCCAAGTGGCTGTTTCTCCCTTTCTTCATTCAGAACACTCCTGCAGGTTACCATGGTGTGCTGGCTGCTGGAGATCTCTTAAATGAGGGCCAGCGGAGGCCTCTGCTTCAGTTTCCCTTTCGGTTAGGCAGGGCTGGTGTTCACAGCAGCCAATGTCTATCATTTACTTAACTCTGCTGTTACACAAAGTATTTCCTTAAACTTTTCAAAACAGGAGGGGAGCAGACCCAGTTGAGTCCCCCAGTCTACCTGCAGGGTCTGAGAACAGACCATTTAGAGAGTCGAAAAAGTCTGGAAACAATCCGGCGGCTGGAAATTCCCCAGAGACAGAGAGTTACAGCAGGCAGGTCCCACTCCACCCCTGGCTCCAGGCCACATTTTCGTTTGGGCCAGTTTCTTGGCCCCGTAGAAGATTCGGCTTCGCCTAGAAACCTCCAAGCCTGGGATGCTTTGGGGAGGGTCTCGGTCTTGACTTCCCTGGCTGGAGACCCAATGGCCCTGTGCCCCTTTCAAACTGCTCCTAGGCAGCTGTTGTCCACTGGAGAAAGAGAACTCCACCCCACACTCGGGAGGAGCCCATGTGGCCTCTGCCCGAGCAGATGGAAGCCCGCGGAGAACCCTCGCAGGGAAGCCCAAGTGCTGACCCTCCGACCTCACTGACCCGGGGCCGGGAGGTCCCCTTCCAAACACCGGGGCACAACACAAAGTCTCAGGCTCACCTTTGGGCGCAGGGGGCTTCCTTGGCTGGGATCTGTCCCGCGCTCCCTGGAGTGACAGCGACCGGGCGGGCGAGGTGGGGGCTCCTCAGCGTCCAGGACTGCGCGGCCAGCGGCGCCTACCTGCCGCAGCGCCCCGGGTGCGCCCTGCCCGCCCTGCCCTGCCGCCGGCCGGCGCCTCGCATACTTGAGGGTTCGCTGCAACCCGATCTGCCCCTGATGTCACAGACGCAACTTCCCGGGTCGGACGGTCCCCAGGGCTCGCGCAGCTGGCCCGGCTTCCCGCGGAGCCGGCCGACCACCGACTGCCGTGCCCTTGGCCTGGGGCGCAAACGCCGGCCGCGCCCTCGCCCTCGCCTCGGCCTCGCCCCCGCCCCGCGGTGACGCTCTTGCCCCTCCGCCGCGGAGCGCGCCTCCTGGAGGACACCGCCTCCCGGGCGTCCCGGGCCAGCAGTCTCTTTCACAGACGCCCAGTGCCCAGGGACGGCTCAGGGCAAACGGGCTCCAGGGACAGGAGCCCTCGCTGCCTGACAGAGGGACTTCTTGGACAGGGGGTGGGAGGCCTGGAGAGGGACACCCCGAGGGTGGGCAACCTCCCCGCCTTAGCTGATGAGGGAAAGGTGACAGTCCCTCTAGGTGACGCCCTGTGCTCTCGCGGAGCTTGGGGTCTTCTGGGAGATGTCTTGGCCACACTGAAGGTGTCAAGGAAAATTGTCAACAGGCTTTGTCAGAAGTAGAGAAGGAGGGGAGAGCCAACTCCAGAGTTCTCTAGAGCCCTTCCTGTCACCCCGCTCCTATCTCCGAGTCTAGTTCTGGGGCGATGACAAACAGGAAGACAGCGCCAACCGGGCATGTGGCTCTGGCACATGTAGGTTCTGATGGCCAGGACGCTTGATTGGTGTCTCCAGGGTTTCTGCAGGTGAGGACGAGGGGTGTCACCACCTGGCTGTGGAGCGTCCAGGGTCTTCCTCAGAGTCCTCTAGGGTGTGAGATTCTACCCCTTGACTGTATCTGCCAGGTGCACAGGTACCAGGTGCCAGGGCTGACCTGGGGCTTGCTCTCCACCAACTGGGCCCAGGCAGTGGCCTCCCCAGGTGGCCATGGAAATGACTGGTGCCAGCTGTTACAACTGAGCAACAAGAGAGCCCTTCCTGTTTATGCTGGAGAGGCCAAATGGCTCTGAGTGGGACAACCAAAGAGAAAGCCCAGCACCCCAGCCAGGAAGGCCCAGAATGGTCAGCGAGAGACAAGAGGAATGTGTTCTTTCAAGTGAAGATTAGATGGGATCTTCTTCCCAGAAACCCAGGCAGATTTCTGTGCTCAGTCTGCATTTGAATAAGTTGGGGGGAAAGGGGTCCCAGAAATAGGTGGGCTAATAGGTAGTTAGGTAGGACTGCAGGAAGTAGAAATTTGGGCTTTGAAAGAAGACACAGAGGTTCTTAGGGAAGCCGGTGCCTAGGCATGGACTGAAACAGCAGCTTGGGAGAGCCCGTTCCTCAGCAGCTGCTTTTAGCAGGCTGGGAAGCTTCGTGTGTGGTGACACTTTGTGCCTATTATCATCTACCCACTTAAAGTTGGTTCCTCTGGGACTCCTGAAGCGCAAAGCTGGAGCGTAGGGTCTGATGAGAGTTGAAGAAGACAGGGCTGAGGGCTGAGGGGAGGGCCTCCAGTGAGCTGCTGGGGATTTGGGAGTGGAGGCTGCTTGCAACGGAGCTGCCCATGGGACGGACGTTCGGTCTGAGGTTACACGTGTGTGGGATTTGATATCATCCTACAGATGAGACTGAGGTTCAGAAGTAGGTAGGTAGTTCTCTCAAGGTCACAGCTAATAAATGACGGGACTCAAATCTGGGCTCAAGTTTTTCTGACCCCTGCTTTCCCCCTCCATCTCATCTAGTAGAGGAGGAAGGAAGGGGTAGATGCAGGCCTGGAATTATGCCCATGGAGGGAAGGATGGGAAAATACTTTCTTACCAACATAACAGACTGGTTCTGGCTGAGGAGACGGTTATAGGGGTTGCTTTTAAGAGAAAAGAAGGGAGAAGACAAATGAGAGGAACTGAGGCAGCTGAGTTGCTCTCTGGGCTTCATGGATTTGGCTGTCAGAAGGAGGAAAACCAAGGCCTATCAAAGGTGGTGTGTCTGTACCGTCTGGTTCCTAAGGAGAAAAGCCAGTAGCTTCTGGGGCAGACAAGTCGGGGACTATTGGAGGGCAAGCTGGTGGCTTGGCTGACCCTGGGTGATCAGGCTATAGAGTCTGTTGAGGCCCCGATGCGGCCAAGAAGGTGAAATTACCGCAGAAGGTGGGAATGGGCGTCCGGCCAGGTGTTCTCACTCTGGTGGATGCCGCCTCCCCGGGAAGAGGCAGGTCAGAACACCCACCTCTTGTTTCATTACAATGTCTACCCGCTCCTGACGGGCCTCAGGCAACCACGGGGCTGTTCCACTTTGCTTAAGCCTCATTATTTTTCTTGTTTTCCGTAAAGACATTGGAAGGTGGTCAAGAGGTTAGTGGGCTCCAAATGGAGTGAAACAGAATGCTAACATCCAATTAAGAAAAAGAGCTTAAAATAGAAGATCTGTAAATGGAGACTGGAAATTCAAACCCCTTTTTTTGGGTGACCACCCCCCACTAACTTTAGCACCTGATGTGTCTTGGTTTCGTGTCAGTTTCAGATGGGAGGTGTCGCTTCCCTCTCGGACATGGTGAAAACCAGTGGGGCATTAAGTGTTGAACGTCAGCCTTCTTCCAGGGCGACATGGACTGCATTTGCTTTTCTTTCTCAGTAGTGCCCTGTTCCGGACAGTTTGGGTGCAGTGGTGGCCAACTTGGATCTATCTGTGCAGCCTGCCTATGGGAGACAGTTTCCAAACTCCAGGTCTAGAGTGTCGCCCAGGGACAGTGCTGCACAGAAGGGCCTCCTTCTCCAGGGCCAAAAGGTCATACTGAGCACATTCTCTTCCTCTCATCTAAAACTGTGGTGTGAGGGCCTCGCAGGTCAGCACAGGGCGGGAGAAGGTCCTGGAACAGCAGCCCAGAGGACCACAGGTGGGAGGCTGCTGACAGGCGGAGGAGGTTGGAGCGGGAAGAAGATGAGCACAGACTTGTTGGCCGGATCCTGAGACGGCACAGGCAGGCAAGCTCAGGACAGGCCCGCGGAAGCGCCGCTTCACAGGCAGGCGATGAGCTTGTGCGGTGGTTATCCCCCAGAGGTGGCACAAGCTGGCGACGGAAATGGATTCTGAAGGGTTTGGACAGACTGAGAATGGCAGAGCCCTAAGGGAGACCCAGAGAAGCTGAGGTGTCCTCTCTGTGGTTGGGAGTCCAGGGAGACCCACGGGCACTCACAGCGGGTACCTCGTGGGCAGGAGTCCTGCCTCCATGGAACTTGGAATCAGGCCAGCAGGCCATGCCATTCCCCCCTCCTCCACCCAATTCTAGAGTCTCTGCGGCCTCTGCCTTAGGAAGGCAGCAAAACCTTGTTCTTTTTACCGCAATCTCATGACCCATTTAAAATGTGTTACCTCTTCCTCATTTTGGCTTTTGATTTCTTTCAGGTTTTGAATGTCTGTCTTCATGCCAGTTTTTGCAGTTAGATTTCTGGCAGAACTTCCCTCCTAAATTACCTCATTCTGACATAAACTAATTGTGAAAGTCCTTTAAAAAGAGCAGCAACATTATCCTTTTCTTGGAGGCTCTTTTTAGTGTGATATCTAAAATGTCTTCAATGTTTTATCCAGGGCGTCGGGAAAAATGTTATTTTTATGGACTCCGACTCTTGGCATTGGTGGGAACTTGGATGTCTCCTCTAATAATCCTCCTGTTCCTCCTCCACCAGAGTTCCCTTCATGTCCCTACGGGACCAAGCCCCAGCACCTTCAGTGTGGGACCAAGCCCCAGCACCTTCAGTGTGGCGGGGAGGGTGGGTGGTGGCCTGGAAAGCCCTTTGTTAATACCTCTGGGGCCTGAGGGGCTCAATTCTCATTTTGTTTGTGGCTCGCAGCCCCCAGAGTTGTGTCTCCTGAGCTGTCTTTGTGGCACTCTGGCTGGCAGTCGTGAACTGGCTGGCACTACTGTTTGGGGTCCTCTGTTGGATTCAGCATTGGCCTGGGGTGTAAAGAGGGGGGCTCTGGACTCTGTTTTGTGGCAGGGCTCTCCGGTGGGAGCAGAGCTCCTTCCTGTGGTTTCCTCATCTGTCTGCCCCCTTGGGGGTGGGAGGTGTATGCAGCGAGCCCAGAGTGTGGGCTCCTACAGCATTACCAGGAGGAACGCCGCTCCCCCTTGGTCGGACTCCTGGGAACCCCTGCGCGCCCCGCCCGCCCGGCACCTCCACTCCGGCAGAAGTTCTTGTGGAGGCTGGAGTTGTTCATCCTCCTGCCCCCAGGGCCCATGGAGTCACTGTGGCTTTGAAATTGGCTTCCTTAACGACTTCAGTGACTCAGAGCACCAGTGTTGCCACCAACAAACTTCCTGTCCCTAGGCTGGCTCTTTTATAACAGGTAAGAGGAAGGGCTGACAAAGACTTCAGAAAATAATGAGCCAGCCTCCGATTCCCAAGTTGTAGAAACACACTCACGCTCTCGACTCACTCTTTTCTCTGTGTTAGGCACTGAGTGACGCAGCTCATACACATTGCTTTTGAAATCGAGCGACTCTGTGAGTTATTATCATACCCCTCTAATATATGTGGAAACTGAGATTTTGAAAAATTTAAAAATCTGTCAAAAGTCAGATAAATGGCAGGCAGAGATTTCAATAAATAGAAAGATTTATTCGACAAATATGTTCCCAGTATCATGCAAAATGTTAGCTACATAAAAATAAATGAGACTCTAGTTTCACGGAGCTTACGCTGGAGTCAGGTTTCAGCCCAGAAGTTTCTGAATTCAGAGCTCCATGGCTGTCCACCTTCATCCCATGGGTAAGTGGGGTCCATGGGTCAACTGATTCTGGGACGATAAGGACGACGGTGATACCTGGAGCTTTGTAAATTTTCAGTTTGCAAGAGTGTTTCCCAGGTATTACTTAACATGACCTTGCCTTTGTTCCTGGACAGGGCACGAGCGGCCGGGCTTGTAGAGGCTGTGGCCTACGGTGGTTGCACAACTGGACTAGAATCTGGGTGTTCTGCCCCCATATCAGTGGCCTCTACTTGCAGAATGCAGGATAAATGTGCAGCCCAGGAACATCTTCCGGTGAAACTTGGAGATGGTTGTCTGAAAGGATGTAGAAGCAGGGTCTAGACCAAGAGCTCCAGCAGAATATTGATATCTGCACTTGGAAACCATGTGGTGCAAGAGCACTTTGCCAGTCTTCCTACCAAAACATTCCTGAAGGAC